CCAAAAAGGGTTATACAAATAAATGGTTATACCATTTGGTCTTACCCATTATTTTTGGCACTTTCATAAGGTTCTTATATAAACTATTGATGCCATTTGTTAGATTTATTATGGTTTATTTTGCTAATATTTTAAATTATTGCCCCACTCTAGAGTTTCATTTAGAATATTTATATGCTATTTTTGACACTTTAAAAAAAGATTAGTTGTATGTGAATCATAAAAAGTGTAAGTTCTTTACTAGTACTATTACTTTTATAAATGTTTGTTGAAATGGTTTAGGTTGATCTATCTAAGATTTTTATAATTGTTGAGTGACTGACTCGAAATAGTGTTTATAATATCCAGAGCTTTCATGGACTTGGATCTTTTTATAAGTGGTCGAAATAGTGTTTATAATATCCAGAGCTTCCATGGACTTGGATCTTTTTATAAGTGGTTCATTAGAAACTTCAATTCTTAAATAAATCTATTATGAAGTGTTTAAAAAGACACATCTTTTAGTGGATAAATGAGGTTGAATTTAGCTTTTAGTTAGTGAAGTAAAAAATGATTGAAGCTCTTATATTAACACTTCTAGATTTTGAGGTAAATTATGATATATTGAGGTTAGGTATTGAGTGAGTTCTTAGTCAAGATGAGAAGCTAATTGCTTTTTTTAGTGAGAAGTTGTCTAACTAAAAAAGAAACTATTCTACATATGATTTAGATTTTCATTCTATTATTTAGACTTTCCAGCATTGATAACATTACTTAGTTTAAAAAAAGTTTATCCTAATCATGGATCATGAAGCTTTAAAATATATAAATAGGCAATATAAGTTAATTTATCGATATGTGAAGTGAGTGTCATTTTTATAAGAGCTTACCTTTTTACTAAGACATCATACAATTTGAACAAAGTGGTTAATGCTTATAATAAATAGGTTGCTCAACTTAGTATTATACATACTTAGGTGAAAAAGTTTGATGCTTCTAATAAGTTGTATTAGGGTGATTTATAATTTGAACATATTCATGTTGAGTTATAAATCAAGGTAAACGAGATAACTTTGTACTTGTGAATGATTATATATTTATAGTTATCAGCTTTTTATCCTAGATTGGTCCTCATGTTTGTAAATTATTATTTACCTAAGATGTTAGGTCATATATCTAGTTTTGTGAAAATATATGTTTGTCAGAGGTTCAAAGGTGGCTTATCAAATGATTGGCTTTATACTCCATTATTAATTCTTTATGCTTTGTGGTTGGATGTTAATATGAATTTTATATTGGGTTCACCCTGTACCTAACAAGCTATGTATTCTCTTTTTATTATTGTTGATAAATTCTTAAAGATGACCCATTTCATAGCTTGCTATAAAAAAACATGGATGCATCTTGAATAACCTACCTTTATTTCAATGATATGATCCATTTAAATGGAATTCCTCTATTCATCATTTTGAATAGAGAAGTGAAGTTTATGAGTAATTTCTAGAAGATTTTATGGGTTAAGATGAGAACTCAATAAAACTTTAGTAGCGTATATCACCATCAGATAAACAAGTAGGCGAAGGTAGTTATTAGCAACTTGCTATAAAAGCTTAGTGGGAGACAAGCTAAAACGATAGATGACCTTATCACAAGTAGACTATAACAAGTCTCGGAATCGAACTAACCAACTAAGTCTATTAAGATTGCATATGGATAAAATTATGCCAAAATGCTAGAATTGATGTTTGTGCCTTGTATTAGATGATCGAGTATCCTAGCTAATGGTATAACAAATTACTTGCATAGTGTATAAGTAGGCCAAAAAGACAATCATTAATAGCAATGCAAAATATAAAGCCCTAGTTGATACTAATCGTACGAGGCTGGTGTTTGAACTTGGTGTTCTCATATGAGCAGTGCTTACTTATGACAAATTTCTAGTAGACAAGTACAACAAGTTGAAGGAATGAAAGATAGGCCTTTATGAGACGTTATAGAAGATTAATGACAATACACATATATTTTTGCCTTTCTAGTCATCTGAAGACTTATGATGTCTTTAATGTTTAGCACTTAATACCCTATCTGGAGGCAAAACAGAACTTAAGGATAAGTTCTCTCAATATAAGGAGAATGATGCAACCATACTAGTAGAAATAAAGATTCTAATCATTCAAGTGAGGATATGACATTAACAGATATAGATTTGATCTAATATGACTATGTGGATAGTCTAATATATACTTTTATGGACAAGTGAGATAGATCTAAGCCTGATAAGATATTTGGTCATGTTAGACTAAATTAATAGATTCTATTTTAATTTCCTTAATGTTTTCAGACTTTAGATTGTTTTCTAGTAGAGATCTATTTTACTAATCTATTTAATAGTCTTGTAAATTACTTAAAAAGACAATCACCATATATTTAAATTTTAAAAAATAAATTTGCAAACTTATGGTTCATATTTACGGTTCTTTTTGCTAATCAAATTCTTGTATTTTATGTGCTATTGATGTAATATTTAGCTTTTATTACATTATATAGTCACTATTATCAATAAACTTGGCTAAACTCAACTGATCGACTCAGGGCTTAAATTTAAATAAGGTTAGGTTTCACAAAAAAATATAAGATAATTGACTTGATTAAAAACCTAATTTAACTTGCTATATAGTTCAAATTCATCATTTTTTTATTCATTTTCAAATGATGTTATGTTGATTTATGGAAAAAAAATTGATTAATCTTTTCAATTTAATAACCATGTTTATAATTAAGCTATATCTACCTTTTGTCTTTAGTGGTTAACATATTTCGGTCATGTACAAGACTTAAGTTCCAGTAGTGTTTATAATTCTTTAACGATGGTGACATGGAATTGTATTTTTAAAAATATGCACATATTTATTTTTTCCTTAATTAAGTATGTTTGGCGTGGTAGGTTTGTGGTAATTATTATTTTTAAAGTATTTTTTTGTTTATAAATATATTAAAATAATTTTATTTTTAAAATAATTATTTTTGACACTAGCATATATATCAAAATGATTTAAAATTTTTTTAATTTGAAGTAAAAAATAAAAAAAAATTAATTTTTTTCTAAAATATTTTTGAAATATAAAAATAAATGGGATAGTAAAGAGAACGGAAATCAACATAACTTAAATTCCTTCTATTAAAGTTAAAAATAAAAATAAAAATGAATGAAATGCTTAATAATGGTGAAGTTAAAGCAGTTAATTTTCCTTTTCTCACTTGAATTATTGATCAGAAGGTTGGCCTTTCTTATTAGTAAACTACATGCATGTCCCAACTCCTGTCTTTATATTCTACAAACCCTTATCTTCCAAAACGGTCCAAGTTCTAGGTTTTTTGGTTAACCTTAAAATGATGTTATTTTTAACAAAAAAAAAAAACCCTAAAATTATCATCATTTAAACAAAAAACAAAATAAAAATTTTAGATAATTGAGTGAGTCAGTTGAGTTTGATCAAGTCATCTTAAATTTATCTCATCAGATATCCAAATTGATTATAGTTTGCTGACCGAATAATAATTTTAAAAAATTAAAAAATTGGATAAAATAGAAGTTGAGGGATTGGTTTGCAATTACATACTCTTAAAATAGTAGATAAAAAATATAGGGTCTAAATAATAGAAAAAAAAAGCATAGGACCTGCAATTATATCATCTACATAAAAAATTATATATATATTTTATCAAATAGTAATATTTAATTATTTGATATGACACACTGGTTAATAACATCCCAATCAGTCTTGATGATTTTAGAGGAAAATAAATGCAAAATAAAAATAGAAATATTTTTGAAATATAAAAATAAATGGGATAGTAAAGAGAACGGAAATCAACATAACTTAAATTCCTTCTATTAAAGTTAAAAATAAAAATAAAAATGAATGAAATGCTTAATAATGGTGAAGTTAAAGCAGTTAATTTTCCTTTTCTCACTTGAATTATTGATCAGAAGGTTGGCCTTTCTTATTAGTAAACTACATGCATGTCCCAACTCCTGTCTTTATATTCTACAAACCCTTATCTTCCAAAACGGTCCAAGTTCTAGGTTTTTTGGTTAACCTTAAAATGATGTTATTTTTAACAAAAAAAAAAAACCCTAAAATTATCATCATTTAAACAAAAAACAAAATAAAAATTTTAGATAATTGAGTGAGTCAGTTGAGTTTGATCAAGTCATCTTAAATTTATCTCATCAGATATCCAAATTGATTATAGTTTGCTGACCGAATAATAATTTTAAAAAATTAAAAAATTGGATAAAATAGAAGTTGAGGGATTGGTTTGCAATTATATACTCTTAAAATAGTAGATAAAAAATATAGGGTCTAAATAATAAAAAAGAAAAGTATAGGACCTGCAATTATATCATCTACATAAAAAATTATATATATACTTTATTAAATAGTAATATTTAATTATTTGATATGATACACTGATCAATAACATTCCAATCAGCCTTGATGATTTTAGAGGAAAATAAATGTAAAATAAAAATAAAAATAAAAACTTATAAAGATATTTATAATTCTGATTAATTAAACAGTAGTCGAAATCGAAATGATGGCTAATTAAATTTATTTTTGGAATTATTGAGCTTGGATCATCTTAATTTTTGTTCCATGAACTGGCAAGAACTCCAAATATTTTGAAGAAAATTGAAGGTACACAACCAGCTTGACTACCCAATTGGTGTGTGGATCACTTCATTGTTCTATCATTTTGGATAATGGATCATCACAGGACTTGTTCTATCTGTTTAAAGCAACGAATACTGTAATGTTGCAAATATATTATTCTTGTTTCGATATAAACAACATGGCCTGCAATATTCAATCTAGCTGAGCTTAACATTTTCTCACTTGTCCATACATGGATGTCATCAGATACCTGCATGGTTTTAGCATTATAAGAACCAGCTCCTTAGACCCTGGCACGGTTCCATAAAGTAGAGGGTTAATTCTGTAGCAGGAGAAGGAAATATGGGAGCACCAACAGGTGATGGTTCGCGAGGCAGAAGGAAGTCATCATCAAGGGGACACCACAGGTTTGTTGGGGTTAGGCAGAGGCCATCAGGGAGATGGGTGGCAGAGATTAAGGACTCGTTGCAAAAGGTTAGACTCTGGCTTGGAACTTTTGATACCGCTGAGGATGCTGCAAGAGCATATGATGATGCGGCTAGAGCGTTACGCGGTGCTAATGCGCGTACAAACTTTGAATTGCCTCAGCCTGCACCAAATTCCGGCGCTGGCCGTCGCAGTCTTATAGAAGTTGAGCCTTTCTCATTTGAGGAGGTTTGCGGGACGGGAAGTGAAGCGGGAGGGATTCTTGGTGCCCTCAAAGCCAAGCTGCTTGATGGCAAGGGATTGCAGGAGCTTCCGTCTGCTGCTCGTTTTTCAAGTGTGCAGCCTAACTTGGCTGCGAATACTTCTCACAAAAACAATTATAAGAGAGATCTGGCATCGACAGGCTCTATTCCTCGCGGAGCTGGAACTCTAAATGCTATCCAGGATCCTTGTACTTTAGGATCTCGTAAGATTGACCTTGTCTTAGATCATGATCATGGTGACATGATGGCTGGTCATGTTGCGGCTGGCCTGTGGAATCAACTATGTCATGGTACTACAGCAACAACAAACTTGGAATGGCCCAGTGAACCAGCACCAAATGAAGTCGCCTGGGCCACGCAGATGAACCATATTTCTGATCAGGCCGCTATGTTTGCCAGTAGTACTTCAATTACTACTTCTGCATGGCCACTTTCTGCGACAGCTCAACCATGTGTTGATTTGATGTATTCGAATCCGTGCGCCATTGAGATGCCTATGAACAAGATTAGTCGAATTATTACAACAAACGTGCCAACATCGCAAATTGATGGATGTATTTGGACCACTGAGCAACAATTCCTGCACTGTGATAATAGTGGCTGGACTGGTGGTAATAGCACTTGGGATCCGTTTCTCTTGTATCCTCATTCCTCAGCGTTAGGGTGACATTGGATGATCTTTCATTTCCTCCATTGTTACTGCAATTTCTCCCTACCAACTACAGTTACCAGCTAATCATTCTTTTACATGTGCACCATAAATTCCCACCTATATATAGGGCTTGCAAGTTCAAGAATTTTTTTTCCAGGGAGTGATCAATATCTGTAATTTGTACTTAAATCTAGTATGCTAAAGTATGTTTCACAATCTTTTGTTTATTGGAGGAATTGTACTGCCTCAGCTGTGAAGTAATTCCTTCTATTTCTTAATCACGAAAAGGAAAAAATTCCCTTTGAATGCTGCCAATTGTCAAACAGTTAGTTTTATATTTCTGAAAAGCAATCCTATCAGACTGGCAATCCTGCTCCTGCAGCTTAAGCACTCAAGTTTTATGTTTTCATGGCTCAAGCAATAAAAATCAACTTTCCATTTCTTTCTTATTTTTGAAAGGAACAGGAATCATGTGCAAGAAATGGTAAGGCAAGCAGGAAGATGGACATCAATGGAATAACAGTTCATATCCTGAATTTTGAATCCCTCACAACAACATCCAGAACTGGCTTGCATATCCGCAGTAAATTATTGATCTAGTATAGCATGCGAAGATTACGATAATGTATTGATCTAGCATGAGATGCGAAGATTCAGACAATGTCAACTGTTAGAATTTAAGTCCATAAAATAAAATAAAAAAGGTTCCATTGCACACTGTATGAAGCCTCGAAATGTAAGATGATTGCTGCCTTGTGATCATCGTTGAAACGACAGCAATATCCAGAATCTGGAGGATATATATTAGTATACTCTAGCAGATGATTTAGTCCATGTTACTAAGCAGTTGATAGGGACTGCTATAATGGTCCTGCAATCAAAAGCCAAAAGATCCGATTTAAGACAATAAAAAAAAAGATCTTGTTACTTCATTTGGACTTGGTAACACAGATGCTAGCTTGAAATGTTTCTTTGTTTTTGACATAGCTTTTTTGTCCCGATGCAGGGACATGACAGGGACCGCGCGAGCCTGACGAGGTTAATTGAACGCCATTTTACTATTGAGGATAGAGTCTAAAAGGGGAATCTGTACACTCCAAAGTGACTACTGTTTCATTCCTGTTTCTTGCCCCCTTAGGAAAGGACATTAGGTATCGGTTAGTTTAAGGTCTAAATCATCATCCACGTTGGCAGTTCATCTTCATGTGTTTTCGGTGGAATGCTAAGTAATCTCACAAAAGAAAATATGAACATAAAATATATTAAAACTTTAAGAAAATTTTAGCGTTTAGTTTAGTTACTGTCTCATAATAATAATAAAAAACATAAATAATAGAGAAAGAAAAGACATCTTTTTATTTTAAAAATATATAATTTCACTCCAAAGCTGTCACTAAGTAAATTTTATTTTATGTTTTGTTTTTCAACTAAACACATTTTCATATTTATTTTTTCTATTTTAATGGTAGTTAATAATAAGAGAAGCTTCGTACACCAAAGTGGAAAAGAAAAATGAACATTATGCTATTTTTTATTGGACCAGCACTCATGGGAAAACAAAATAAAAAAGTGGTGTGGTCAGATTTGAAATAATAGATGATTTTAAATAGTTAATAAATTTATTATAATTAAATAGGGATTTGCCACATATAAATTATATAAATGACAATTAAATAGGGATTTGCCACATATAAATTAAATGACGTAATAAATATATTTATGAATTAGTAAAGTTAATTTAGATTGGAAAAAAGATTTGTTTGTTCTAAACTATCATTTGGAAAAAAGATTTGTTTGTTCTAAACTAGCATGATGATCTAAAAAGATTATATTCAATCTTGCTTAATTTTTTATAAAAGTTTCCAAAAATCATTTTTATACTATAATACTTTCAGTGTTATATACACCGTCGGATCTTAAGATATCGATAAGCTCATCCCGAGATCTTGGTTAGGCTAATTTTGTTATTTTTCTTGTTTTATGCTTTGTTTCGGATGTTATGATTATTTTTTTTGTATTTTTAAATTTTCATTTTATTTTTTAGTTAAGGTAGAGTTTATGGTGTTTTATAAACCTCTACTTTATCAGCATTAATTTCTAGAAGGAATAAAGTTGTGAATTTAAGTTTCACATTCCAATCACTTTTCACTCATCAAATTTCTATATTCTGATTTTTTTTTTTGCTGTGTTTAGCTTCTGTCGGCATAAAAAGAGCCTTCTTATGTGTCGCATGGTAATATCATATGCGCTTCTCTTAAATGTACAAGAAATCCATTATCACCTGGCTCAATTATATGGTCCATTAACAATGTATTCCTTTCCAGATCAACTGGGACCAGGTAAATGAATGGCTGTGGCTCTTCCTTCAGAAAGTTGTCAGTTGGAATATAGAATCAGGAACAGGTTCTCAGTTCTACATTATAAGAGAATTAAAAGAGTGAAGGTGGAGGGGGTGCTGAAAGTTCAAGGATGGAAACAGTTGACATATTCAATATCTTGATAGTGTAAAAGCATCTCTTAGCGAATCCACACAGCAGTATTCTTCCTATTACCTGCTCAGCAGCGGTCTGCATTGGTGATGAACAATCGCAATAACTCTTAGCTCAGGATCCCCCATATTAATTGCACTTCAAAGAGTACAATCTGCCAGGATATTACACGGGCCACGTTTGTTTTTTGAATAGTTACTAGCCAGCTAGAGAGGTAAGGACTAGCAGCTAAAAGATTGGGATGGAATTAAGTGAGATAGAGAGGGATAATTTCAGCTTGGAGTGCAATCCAGGAAGTGATAGCTAGGTAGAAGACAAGTGCGTGCGTGTAAAAGATGACACAGACATTTGAAGTGGCACCATTGAAGTGTAGGGATGGACAGTGCACAGAAATCTTCCTAGTTGCTGCGTCTAATCAAGGTGATCGCTGCTTTTCTGCACTATTCTTTCCGGTATTTACGAGAAGATTTGACATGTTGGTCTTGCTCTGCACATTGTAAACGCCAACTGTGGACACAGACTGTCCTCTTTTGTATAAAATCTGCAGCGCGATAGCCTTCAAATGAACCTAATTTGGAATAATAAAACAAGATATATTTCTAGCAATTGAGTGCAATACAGTGATTGAGGAAATTGACGCAACTTTATACCAAATAATGACCTAGAGCGAATGATAATGAAAATTATTACCCCTTCGACGACTCATTCGGTTTGTTATATCTGAAACTCTCAAATATATTTGTTTTTTAAAAAATAATTTTTAAAAAGTTAAGTTTTAAATTTTTTTAAATTTATTTATTGTTAGAAAAATTAATGAATGAAAAATATTTTTTAATAAAAAAATTAACTTGATTTTTAATAAAATGTTTTTCTAAAAAATTTAGATGGAAAATATTTTTTAGAAGTTGTGAAAAATTTAAAATTATCATATTATTTACTGATTATATCAAATTTGATCTTTAAATTTTTTGATTGCTATATATATATTTTTTTTTTATTTTGACAATTTTTTTTTTGAATATTTATTTTTATAATTGTTATTTATTTTTTTCTTATTATTTTTTTTATTAAAATTTTTTATCTATCAAATTTAATCCTTATTTTTTGATTGTTACTTATTTTATTTGAATTAATTTATGAAATGTTAATTATTATTATTTTAATTTCTTCATCTTTTATTTTTTAAAATTTTTAGATTTGATTTCTATTATTTTGATTATTATTTGAGATAATTTAAAAATATATATATATTTTTAATTTCATTCTCATTCAACTTTTTAATTTGTAACATTTGTTCCTTATTATTTTAATGAACTTGAAAACAATAAAATATTAATAAGTTATTTTCAGCTTATTTTTCATGACATAACCAAATGCTGAAAAGATTTTTCCAACTTATTTTTCATTATACTACTAAACATCAGAAAATAATTTATTTTTCCAGAATTTACTTTTTCAAAAAAATAATTTATTTTTCCAGAATTTACTTTTTTTTAAAAAAATGTTTTAAATATTTTTCAGCAAACAAATATAATCTATATATCAAATCTCTAAACAATCTCATAATTATAAAGAATATCAAAATAAACAGTTAATTCATCCATGGTTGCTATGCTTTATATTATAAGCAGGTATAAAACCTAATTCTTAATAGGAAAAAATTTCTAAAAAGTAATTATAAAGTTAATATTAACAAATACTTTAAAACGTGTAGGAAAAGTAGTTTTCCTCACATTTTTTTCATTTTTTTTCATGTTTTGTCTTTCTTTTCTTTTGATTTTTTTTTCTTTTGCGTTTTACATGTTATTTTTTTTTCCAAGATTGTCTTCTTGTTCTTTTTATTCTTGTTTTTTTTAAATTATTTTGTCGATTTTTTTAATATTAAACTAGTTGAAATTTTAGTTCTGTAGTTTTTTTAAAAAAACATTATGGATTACTATAATATTTTTCTACATAGTTTTTTAATGAATATTTTTTTTTTCAAAATAAACTTTGTCAATTTTTTTTTATATATATTGAGCTTGTTGAAAATTTTGCTTCATAGTTTTTTCTTTAAAATACCATGTATTGTTCCAGTATTTTCCCACATGATTTTTGTTTTGTTATAGTGTTTCTCCATGTATTTTTTTAAATTATCTTTGTTAATTTTTTTAATATTGAGTTAATTGAGAATTTTGTTTCGTAATTTTTTCTTTAAAACATTGTGGATTGCTACAATATTCCCTCACATAATTTTTTTTGTTATGATTTTTTTTTAAATTATCTTTCTCAATTTTATTATTTTTAATATTGAGCTGGTTAAAAATTACAACTATAGATTTTCTCATGAAATACTATAGATTGCTACAATATTTCCCTGCATGGTTTTTTTATGTTATGATTTTTTTCAAAATTTTCTTTGTTAATTTTATTTTTTAAAAATTAAGATGATGAAGAATTTAATTTTATAGTTTTTTCCTTGAAAACATTGTGGATTCTAACAATTTTTCTCCATATTTTTTTTTCTATAAACCCACAATAACACAC